TCCACAAGTACACAACGGTGAGCTTGCCCAGCGTTGCGAGGAAGACTAACCGGAACAATCGTTTCCGATCTCGGCGGAAGAACAATCTTCTTGATGCTGTACACGTTCCCTGGTAACGCACCTTCCATAAAGAGTTCCTCCTGTCCACATTTCAAAACACCTTGCTTAACGTCGATCTCACAACAATTATTCCTCATAAAGTCTAGGCCTAGGATGCAGTCGTCCATTATATCAGCCACGATGACATTATGCAGGTAGATCACGTTGCCTAGCTTCAACTCCATCTCCTTCTCTCCACGGACGGGTATACGCTGACCGGTGGCTGTTACCAAATTAATGCGTTCTAGGTTGTATGCGGAGTCCCCAAGGAACTGACTTATAAGTTGGGAACTAACAACCGTACGAGAGGCTCCAGTGTCTATGGTCAGTTTACACGGCATTCCGTTGACCTCGCCCTTGATGATTAGACTGTTCCCATCATGGGTTTGTGAGATCGAGATCCTTGGTGCTCTTTTAACATCAGCTAGCACCCGCCCCGCAGTTCTGGCTTTTACTCGTTTCCCTGCTGCTGCTGGGCGGTGCTGTTGGCCGCAATACCCTCCTGAGATCGTTCACCGTCCCTTTCTAGGGTTCGCTTAGGGCAGCTGGATCGAAGATGGCCCTTTTCCCCACAGCCGTAGCACCTTGGGCTGTATCCTTTGTTGCGGTCGCGAACTGTAGCTGCTGCAACCTCCCTGACGCGATGAGAACGATGATCCTGCCGCACGGCTTCCACTTCCAGTGCATGGGCCAAGGCGTCCTTAAGCGTCTCATGGTGCCCGAGCCTAACAGCAGCTCTGACTTCCAGGTCGCGGATGCCGTCGATGAATGTTTGCACCAGGTTCCCTTCAATGAGCGCAGGTACAGACCGGTATGCTTTTCGCACCAGCTTCTCCACTTCTAGAGCCCACTGCTGGCAGGTTTTCGTTGATGCGCTGCACACGATCTTTAAGCTGCGCACGAAAGACGTGTTCTAGGTGAGCGTCACCATATCTCGCCTCCAATGCCTCAAGGAGTTGCTCATAAGTCACTTCCTCACCGAGAGCTTCCAGGACTGTTAAGGCCTGGTCGCGTAGGCCTAGTATGAGAGCAGTCATGGCCTGACTTTTATTCCAGCCGTTCGCCTTCATAACAGCCTCGAACTGGATTTTGTAGGCTGACCAGGAAGAGGTACCGTCGAACGGTGGCACCTTGAACCCACGTAGCGAAGGTGTTGTAGCTACTACGGGAGCTGTAGCTCCATCTCCAAGTTTGAGTTCGTCCAGTGATTTCTTCATGTCAGCCATTACGTTGTCAACCCGATTGTTTACTTGGTCGATTCGGGTTTCAGCTTTCTCGATTTGGGTTTCAGCTTCCGACAGGCGTTTGTCATGCTAAGCAACCCTATCCTTCGCCTCCTTTATCTCCTTCCCGAAGGTAGCGTGAAGGTCCTTCATGAGGAGCATCTGTTTCTCCTGTCGGCGGGCCTGTTCCTCTTGTCCGCTCTGCAGCTGCTCTTTCCACTGACGGACCTGTTCCTCCTGTCGGCGAGCCTGCTCCTCCTGTCGGCGAGCCTGCTCCTGCAGCATCACCATCAGGGCGCCTAAATCAGGTGCTGCAGATGCAGGAGCTACTGACGAACCGGCCTCCATTGCCGGCGGCTGGCCCTCCGACGTATGCGGCGTTGCACCACCAAATCTTCTCTGGTCCGTCTCATGCTGGCGTTGACTGCGTGTACGAACACCCTCCGTTTCCTCCTTAGGTAAAATCGGCATGATTTTATCCCACTTCTGACACCAATTGTTACGAGCTTGAGGTTCGTGACAATAAAAAATTGCCGATAAAATTACCTAAATTAACACTTTAATTTACTTTACACAAATTAAAACTAAAAACACTAATAAATAAATACACTAATTCACTTAATTCCGCTCCGAAGCTTCGCTTGTGTCGCCGAGTTCAACTCTGCCCGATCGCATCTTGCAGCGCCTACTTATATAAATTAGCAAAATATCCAGAATGTTCAAGTAAACACGCGCAAGGTACCGAGAGTTCGAGTTTTAAACTTCAAAAAGTTTAGTTCTTTGGTTCGAGACTAGATGGCGCTAGTGCGCCGATTTTAGCGCGTCACAATATGCATAGGTAAAATATTACAGTAATTAAAAATGTCTAATACGTTTTCTTTATATTGTTGTATTATTTTTCGGGGTACGATAAGTTTAAGTAATCTTAGCTGTAGTTTATATATTTTTTCAGTATATGACTTAAAGGTTCGTCCATAACTTGAGATTCCGTATGATATAATTGACTCAGCTAAGGCTTTATATATATTCAGCAGGATTTTATACGGTACTTTAGGCTTTAAGATATAGAATTTAGCCAGTATAGCTCGTAACTTCTCACAGAGAGAATCTATGTGAAATCTCCAGCTTAATCTATTGTCTATAATTAGTCCTAAGTAAGTGTGATGCGTTACTTGTTCTATTGCCTCACATTTACAAGCGTTAGTTGAAGCGCAAGATGAAGTTGATTTGTGCAGACATCTGTGACTGTGAGCAACGATCTTAAAATACGTGTTGTGTTTTAGATGGCTTGAGTGAACGTGAATCACTTTGGTTTTATTTGCATTCAAGATAAGTCCCGCATCATGTGACCATTTGGATACCTGTGTAAAATCCTGCTGCAGCCATTTAGCTGCTTCTTTTAGATCTTTGCTGGTCGCCAAAAGGCACGTGTCATCTGCGTATTGATAAACGGAACAATGGTTGACTATATGCTCCATATCGTTGACGTATGCTAAATAGTACAAGGGTCCAAGCACCGACCCTTGAGCTGTTCCTTCAGTAACATCTATAGCGACGCTGACTTCATCACAAATTTTAACTTTATATTTGCGATTATTGAGGTAATCTTTGAACCAATCTAAAATTGGACCGCGTACACCGGTATTCTCTAGTTTATTTAAGAGAATATCGTGTCGAAGCGTATCAAATGCTTTGCTGAAGTCTATGAATAACAGAATTACGTGGTTTCTGTTATCTAGATATTTGTTTACATCATTTGTAAATTTTGACAGCAGTTTAGAGGTAGATTTGTTAGGTTGAAAGCCGTATTGTGAATGTGGTAGGATGTTATATTTATTGTATAAGTCTTGTATCCGATTGCAAACATATTTTTCTACTATCTTGTCAATGACTGGTAGGATAGTAATTGGTCTATAGTTGGCATAATAACTGTGACTACCTTTTTTATATATCGGTCTAACTATACTTATTTTTAATTCATCTGGATACTTTGCTTGGCGCAGCTATTATTTATTAATTTAACAATAATTCCTATCATCTTATCACAGATAGATTGTATGTCAATACATCGGATATTATCCATACCAGGAGCTTTATTGATTTTAAGGTTTTTTACAATCTTCGTCACACTTTCATTTGAGGCTCTTTTAAAATACTATAGATTTATTTTCGGGGGAACATATATTCTGATTCATTTAGAAGCCGTTGGTTACATTTTGGAAGGATTTTTTTAACACAATTTCTAAATTCTTTTGCAAAGTTATTAGCTATTGATTTTGCGTCAATATTATTTTTATTAAATGTTTTTAATATTGCCTCATCCACTGAATTTTTGTTTCGACCAGATAGTGTATTCAAAATTTGCCATAGATTTCTAAGATTCATTTTATTACTATTTATTTGTTCCATATAATACTTATTTTTACACTTTTCTATTATTTTACGTGTCTTATTCCTTAATTTATTATACTCTAATCTTAGTAATTTGTCCGTAGGATCATTTTTCCATTTAATGTATAATTCGTCTTTCTTTTTTACACATGCTATTAATTTTACTATTTATCCAGGGGTCTTTATTTCTATTACTTATTTTATTACTTTTTTTTTGATATATTTTGAATCATTGTAACAATCATTGAATTTATTTTTGATGCAATTGTAAATTTTATTTGGATACTCTGTATCTCTGACTTCGCTCCAATCTAGATTATTAAGTAAACTTTTAACTTTATGATCATCAATCTGTTGGATTATTTTTGTATCACTCTGTACTTGTGTTTGGTCGAATCGTACGCACGAAAGTATAATCATGCGATGGTCAGCCAATACAGTTTCGAGCGCGGCCGAGTACAGATCTAACGAGCGCGTACGAGTAAAAATGTGATCTATGCAACTGCGAGTTGTTTCCTTACCGCGTATTTCAATTCTTGTGTAATCGGATATCGCGCTTGTTAGACCGCTCTCGGACATACTACTAATGTAGTAGTCTCGGATGTTGTCGCATGTTTTTAAGTCTATGTTAACGTTGCCTAAGAGATAAGTGTCACATAGTTGAAACATAGATTTTGATAATAGGCTACTTATTTCCTTTACAAATAGGTGCTTACTCTCACTTGGTGGTCTATAAACAGCACAGATGTAAGCGGAGTATTTGTAAGGCGTAGTGATCTTACAGATAATAATCTCACAGTGTATTAACGAGTGACTTACTGGCGCGAATGAGTGAACATCTCTAACATATAGAATTATACCACCGCCTTTTCTATTTTTGCGCAACATACTGTGCATTCTATAGCCATAAATATTAAACATAGAAACTATATTGTTATTTATGTTTACTTCGCTTAAGATTAAAATATCAATAATCATTTTAGAAGAGTTAATTAATTGTGTTACATAGCAAAAATTTTTTATCAAAGATCTTATGTTAATGTGGACAATATTAAGATAGATTTTATAAATAGGGGGTATATGCAAGCGGAAGTTGTTAATATCTGCACAATTTAATATTTCTTCATGATCAGAAAAGAGAACTTGGGTTACTAATTTTGAAATCTATTACCGCTTGGAACTTTGGCCGATTATTTCCGTTAGTGCTGAGAGCTTCTCAATGTCAGCTTCGCTTCGCGCGACCTTAGGCTTGGATTTGTCGTCTTTACGTAGTAGCACCTTTCCATCTTAGAACCAGACGTATTTGTAGGCCGGTCTTAGTTTTTGTTGTGCTAGCCATAATAACGACTTATTGGCTTTGGTCAGGGCGCGTCGTATGATCACTTTCGTCTTAGCAACTTCCACAGGGGCCTCGGAGATGATTTGTTCTACCACTACTGCTTCCTTTTTCGAGGCTCGCACCCATAAGCTTACATTTTCTGCATGCTTGAACTGCACCTGGATGTTTCCATCTTGGTTATTTCGACCTTCTACACGTGTAATATTCACTACTTGCGTCCTGTCCATGTTGAGTGTCTCAGCTAGTTTGAGAGATATATTTACAAGGTTTTCGTCTTTAGCTTTAGGAATACCTATCACTTTTATCACATTGTCTAAACGCTGTTGTTCAATATTACGTAGATATTGTTTCAGTGAGCTCATTTCAAGCTCAAGATGGGTTTTTTCGTTATGAAGGTAGTTGTACTTCTTTTCTAATTTCTGGATATGTTTGTTTTGAGCTTCCACAATTTTGGAAAGATCATCAATTTTTGTGCAACAGAAGCTCACTGATGCTTCAATTGGTTGAAGTTCTTTCTTTAAAACTTTTTTCATTTCTGCTGTTATATCTTTTAAAACTTCTCTGTGTTAACAATTGTGGGTTATTGTGAGGCGACTTGTTTTTTGGAATTGAAGGTTGACTTTCTGTTAGGTGTATTCTGATGGCACTCTTCGCATGTCCAGTCTAGTCTGTCCGCATTATGAAGCGCAGATAGTTGCTTCGCGTTGAGACCAGAGCAAGCTTTACTAGCATGAACCATCTTCCCACAGGATCTGCATTCCAGTCCGGGTACCTTTGTGGTTATCCCTTTGTTACAGATGTCACATTTAGTCATTTTCTTTTCGATTGAAATTTTATTTAGAGGGTAGTTACCAAACGTATAGAATAGTGTTACCACAGAACCGACACACACAGCAGCGCGAGAACGAATAACTACCATTTCTTTGTTTCTTACACAGTCCTTTACTGTCTCCAGGGCGTCATATAATGCATCTTCTGTACCCCTCTGTGGGATGAAACCATATTGCCGACCGCTTAATTTATCATCGTGGCCTAACTGCCATGTGAGTCTGGTTACAAATAGCTTTTCCAGTACCTTCCCCAATAAAGGTAATAGGCCTATTGGACGGTATGCTTTTGCGAGAGTATAGTCCTCCTTATTTGGTTTCGGAATAACGCGAATGATTGCGTTTTTCCATATCTGTGGAAAATATCCTAAAGATAGACACTTATTAAATATTTTAAGGAGAATTCCTGGTTCAGCTAAGTAGGATTTGAAGCAAATGTCAGCATAATGATTTCTTATATTTACGCGAATACTACACATTGATTAAAACTATTTTTACGGATTTTATCGCGTTTATTCTACTATTATTTTAATTCCCGACGTTTCGGGCGCTTTCCAGCACCCATGGTTACGGGGGACTGAGATGACTGACGTCCCGATGTCGTTGTTAAACCCGGAGTACCTTCAGCTTTTTTAATTATTGTAATTAACAACAACAAATATCAGCAGTCAGTAATCTCCTCCTGGTGATTTTTTGGGGCTCATGTCCTTGAAAACAGTTTCAATTTCAGTGGCGGTATGTGGTATAGTGTGAATGTATACTGTACTGTTGTTAAGGTCTTCTCTGATGCTTAATGCATTTTCCCTTATTTTTATGTGGTCTCTATCATCAGTGGAGTTGTCGTCTATTGAATAGAATGTGTCTGCCAAAAGCTTGGCAGATCGCTCTGGGGATAAGATGTCATTTCCCGTGGATGATTTTAGTAACGTGTCATTCTTTGCTGCTGAATTTTTAAGAATTATCCTGTATATGCTCTGCCACATGTTTTCCTTGTCTTGTCTGGAGCAGAACTGTTTCCGGCTTGAGGTCATTGCTTCCATCATGAGGTGTTTATAATCAGTTTTAGCTTGTATGTAGTCTTCAATTACATACAGTTTCCGTCTTTCGTTAGCATTTTTATTATTAATTAGTAGGAGTCGCCATGGACCTAAATAATAAGGAAATCGAAGAAGCGGTACTGAAACAAAATGGTACACTGCTAAAAGAAATATCTACCTCACAAATGCACATAAAAGTAGTGAGAAGGGTCAAAGGCCGTACCAACACATTAAACAACGTAATTGTGAAAGTCAGTCCACAAGTCTCATCAAGACTTAAAGATCAGAGAATAAGGCTTGGCTTCCAGATCGTCCCAGCAGTGGACCAGTCGCCCTTAATTCAGTGCTACCGCTGCCTAGGATTCTCACATCGCGCTAGTGACTTTAAGGCCGATACAGCAGTTTGTGACTACTGCACCGAGTCACACGATACACGAGAGTGTTGCAATAAAAATGAAGCTCCAAAATGCACAAATTGTATCAACAAGAAAGCAAATGATTGGGCATGTACTCATCCAGCCTATAGCTCTGAATGCCCTGAATGGCAGCGGTGCGACAGAATTGCAAGATCTTTAACATCCTATTGCTAAGAACAAAAGAGAACAGACAAAAGACAGCAGTCCAGAGAGAATCAAAATTGCTCAAATAAACCTCGGTAGAGGACAAGGTGCACTACAAGAAAGTATACAAGCTGCTGTGCAGCAGAGTTTCTCAATTTTAATGGTCTAAGAGCCATATGTTGGAGCTAAGGCTCATGTAACTTGTAAGCATAAAATTATACAAAAAGACACTGGTAACAGAGAAAAACCAGTCAAGTCGGCTGTCATTGTTGTTAATCCGAACATACAGTATTATGTCAACCAAATCATGATAACAGAGAATTTAGTTGTATGTAAACTTAGTATAAATGAATTTTGCATAGCTATAATTAATGTATATCTCGAGGAAGGTGCCGATATTGAAGAAGATCTCTGCAAAATTACAAGATTCATAGAAAATCTCGACACCGAGCACGTTATTCTTGGAGGGGATTTTAATGCCAAAAGTCCCTAGTGGGGGTGCAATGTGGAGGATAAGCGGGGAGCAGTTATAGCTGAGACCTTAGCACAACTAGACCTACAAATATTAAATGAAGGACAAACACCAACTTTTCATGTATGGAGAAGGGCTCGAGAATACTCCAGCATCATTGATGTTACCACATGAACGCCAGCTCTACTGCATAAAATAACCAACTGGAAAGTGAATCAACTTAGTTACACTCTCAGATCACCATGCGATCACTTTCGAGATAAATATCAAAAAATTAAATATAATGACACATCAAAGGATCTCAACGCGTATTTATAACACAAGCAAGGCAGACTGAGAAACGTTCTCAATACGACTGAAAGGAGAACTCAACAATTTTAAGATCACACAGGACTTCATCGATTCCATAAGTACCCCAAAATTATTAGAACAGTGCATCAACACATATACCACATGTATTCATAAATCTTGTAAACATACTTTACCCTTATTAGCGAGAAAAATACCAAAAAAACGCAATGGTAGAATAAGGAACTACAGGAGAAAAAGAGGGAGGTAATAAAGAAAAGGAGAAAAATAAAATATGCTAACGAAAGACGGAAACTGTATGTAATTGAAGACTACATAGAAGCTAAAACTGATTATAAACACCTCATAATGGAAGCAGAGCGTGGTTCAGATTGGCCACATTGACGGGCAATGATTTTGCTATAGTTTGTTTTAAGGTTGCATAGTAGTTTGAGTATTGATGCTTTGAGGCTTGGATGAAGCGCAGCATAGAACTACATGTTTGGAAAAGCTACTCTTAAAGTATGACGGTTACGTGCGAAGCGCTCGGCCGCGTGACAGACGCCTCTTATTGATTGTCTCTCGTGTTTTAAGTGACAAGAGGTCCTTTTGAGTTTTGAAACGCTAGGAATATGTGAGAAATTTTTTTTTACTTTTTTTTGTTTCCGAGAGGAGATCGCTTCATGTTGAATATAGATTAATTGTGCGCGTACACCGGTCGAGTAGAAGTATGAATAGAAATCGGATATGTTGAACGATTGTTAGTAGAGTTTACGGTCAGAGTTTGTGACATTTTACATTTATTCGAGGTAGCTCTTAAATTTTGTTCCTTTGTTTTTTGGTTTTGTTCTTGTGTGTTTTTTTTTTGTTTTTCTTGTCTTTTATTATTGTGCTCTGGTTGCTGGTAACTCACCATCATGATCAGAATGCGGTTAATTGCATCGGGAGTTTTGGAATTTGTCTGGCAGGCGCACTATTCAGAGCATCACTTTTGGGAACATACTTTGTGGTAGATTAGACTTACCACCCGACCACGTCGGGTCCATCCGACCATCCGCTGGAGTCGGAACCGACTTTGCTAGCCCCTTCCTCGTCAAGTCCTCCAACCTACGCCACGCGCGTTCACTTAGGGTCTATCTGTGCTTTTTCGTGTGATTCGCCACTAGGGCCGTTCGCTTGAAACTTGTAGGTGCCCTCAGCACTGTATCCTTTGTGGTCACGCTGGGCCGCTCCTTATCACGTCGCGGTTTGCCGGATCGGTTCCGGCCAGATTGCGGAACGGATTGTAGGAGCACTGATAGATATTTGAAGGAGGTCGTCGAATTTCTGTCCTGCAACAGAACTTATTGGGTGGCTGAGATGTCCGGGAATTACATCCAGGGGAAATTCGACTCTCCGGCTTGCCCACGCTGAGGCGGTGACGTGAGGCGGTGGTTGGCGTTGCAAGAGCGCATCTCCGTTGCGTTAGTGCCCGAGGTCTTGGTTGGAGATTCGGTCTTGCCTCGTGCCGTCGCGACCCTATCCCGGTTGCCAATTTACTCGCGGACATAGGGAAAGGTGAAGGAACGGTTAGCGAGGTGCGGGAGGCGGAGGCTAGCTATATCGTACGCGCAGCGCAGTGGCAGTCTGCAGCGAGCCGAGTTGTGAGTGGTTCGTCAGCGGGGCCGGGCTGCATCCGGTCGGCCGCGAGGCCGCGGGCCTCCGGGAGCGGCGTCCGCGCGATTTGAACGCCGACGTTCCCGGGTCGAGTTAGATGTCGCGAGAATGATATGTTTGTTGCGCGAAGCCCAGGTCGATTATATATTGATAGTCTCCTTGTTTTGTCTTATATTTGTAAGTTTCAGGATAACGAGGCCATATTGGATAATTGTTTGTAACCGTGTTATGTATTATTTGTGAATCATACGGTTGTGCACGGCAGCTGTTAATTCGAAGGCCTAAGACTTGTGTTAATTGAGCGCGCCATTTTGAATTTATTATTGAATATTAGAATATAACCTATACCGTCTCGAATTTAGTGTCTATTTTGAATGTGTTACGTGACGGAGAGAGAATTTGTAGTGATTAAAGGACCTTTTATTCCGTTAATTGCTTAGACCGGTAGTAGTTTGTGCTAGTAGCTAGGACATTACTTACGTTTTTTTGATTTGATTGAACTTGAAGATAATTAATTGTACAATAAAGTATAAACGAATATAGTGAAAGTAGATTGGATGGATCCCACATTTGAAGAGAGGCGACGCCTTTGGATCTGCTGTATAGCACCAACGGGGATGTCAGGTTACACATTGAACACTTACTGAACACAACTCACAATCACCTCACTTTCACCTGACTATTCCTGTGGTTAACCCTACCTCCGCCAAACGGTAAGCGTTGCTTGCTTCTTTGTTAGCCGCTATAGTTTAATTATCCATAGGTCTTGGACCCTCCCCTTTGTTACCCGTCGAGTTGGACTATCATGGGCCATAGTTCAATCGGCTATGGTCAGGGTAGCCTGGGGGCATTAACGCTATCATTCTGCCTCTAGTTAATTCAAAAGAGTTATAGGGAAGAAAAATTCAGAGAAACAAGTACGTCTTCCTCCGGGAAGACGTGTATTCAGGTCTCTCACTAAATAATATGTCCAATGGAACTCTGTCAGCCATCACTTTCATCTTTGCACTGCGCATGACTCATTGGGCAAGGGCAGAAAGAAGAAAAAATATTTTAGGCTCTCTCTTTGCGTACAACTCGACCCTTTACGACAGGAGAACAAACCGCCTACCATCTGGCAGTATAAGTGTTTCATGTCGGATTTGTGTTTTACAGTGCTCAGTGGGCTCCTTTTTCCTGGATTTCAACAACTCGATTAGAGTTTTATGGAATTTTTAATCACATTATTGCTATATACTTCTTTTTATACTTAAAAATTACAAAAGTAATGGTAGTGTTATGTCGGATTTATTTACCAACACAGAGCGCTTGCCCTCATACAACATGCAGATCGATTCAGCGACTGATCCAAGTTGTCACTGTCACCGAGCGATACTGTTATAATGTATCTATGTGTATGTGAAATTGTTAGTTTATTATTTTAATTATCATGTGTGAGTTTCGTAGTGACAAGTGATAAGTGCGATTATATTTGTGTGTGCAGATTTCCCCCGCAAAAAAAGGCAGACAGTTTTGTATCGTAGAAAAACGCTACTCTCCTCCGATCCGCCGGTGGCCCCTATTGTTCTATGCCTAATAAACTAGTGATAAATATGTATTCTTCGATAAATAAACTTATAAAAATGTTTTATTAAAATTGTTTAAAATTGACTTTGAAATATTTTTTTTAATTTATTATTTATTGTTGTGGTGTTACTTAATTCTAAACTCGCAAAACTTTTACGTTTGATGGCGGGAGGCGCTCTTTTACATAGCAATGAACCACCTTATGTACTCCTAATATCGGATACAATATATAATACACAATTATATAGATAACACAGTAATATATACTTAAACCTATGACATCTTGTTGTTTTGTCAACTTTATATTGTTATATATATTTAACTTTATTTATATAAATTAAATACCTAATAATTATATATTATATTGTTATGGTTTATTATACTAAAATGAATCAATCGTATTTAGTTCTATTAGCCTTCCTGTATAATGTTTTTTAATTTTCTCTTAAGTGATCTTTTACTAATTTTAACTTTTTCTCTTAATAGATCTATTTTGTTAAACACTTTAGCTACCAAATACTTAGATATTCTCTTACTATAATAATAAGTTTGTTATTTTTGGTTGAACCGGTATGTTTTCTCTAACCCTATGTGTGTTGTACTAGTTTTTAACTATAAGTTTGTATTCATCATTATTATAATATTCCAAACCTACAAAATAATCAATTTTTTTTATCTATGGGAATAATTTTACAAATCGGAAATACTAATCATAGTCTTTGTTGCAATTATCTTTAACATTTTTACTAACTAGAAACTTAATCAGTCTTATTTGTATGTTTTTGATATTTTTTAGATATGTAATAAAGGTTTTGCACTCTGCTTATTCTGCATTACTACATCAACTAGCATATTTGTAAAGCATAATAAATTAAGCTTAAATGTGTGCCATTAAATAAAAAGAATAATTTGTAGTACAAACGGTTTCATTGCCGTGGTAGCTCAGGTGGTTATCGCTCGCTGTATATTTCACAGTACGCGAGCAAACCGGGTTCGATCCCCGCTGGCACCAATGAAATTGTTAATTGCAATTTTAAGTGCTGATTTACGACGCGCTCGGCGGTGAAGGAAGAAACCTGCATGTCTGAGAAATACGAGTATGAAAAAAAATATTTCGAAGACATGTGAAGTTCGCCAACATGCATTGGGGCAGCGCGGCGGACAATTCCTTGCTCTAAAACCCTCTCAGAAATGAGGGGAGGCCTGTGTCCAGCAGTGGGACGTATATAGGCTGTAACTTTACTTTACTTTTTAACTTTACAAACGGTTTCTTTGCTCATGTTGTACAAATAACTCTTGCTGCATGGTGCCTATTCATTAAATTACACTCAAAGCTCTCAAAGAACTCAAACTATAAACACTCGAAGGCAATAACACTTACCGTTATAGCTTATTAAAGTTGAACTCTAAACACTGGCCGAATTGGCAACTGCAGTTTTTTTTAGTCGCTATCAGGAAGACGCAAAAAAAACAGAATTGAAAACCAATAATTTGTGATTTTCACGAATCTAGACATAGTGGATGGATATTTATGTAAAATAAATGCATCTAAATTTATTTTTATTACTTCTGTTATCGGCCAATATACAATAACCTGTTTTTTTATCTAAACCACCAACCTTTGCGGTGTTTATTGATAAGAAAATGAGCATCAAATTTATTTGTTGAACTAACGCAAAATGCGCTCTATTAATATTAATGAATTGTCTAAAACTCTAAAATAACAGTATTCATAGATAGGTCGAAATATAAAAAAATGTATTTATACATATTTATAGGGTACTGCTGCTGAATTTTATTATCAGTAAGTTTCACTAGACGGTTAAGATAGCTAACAGTATTTTCATATATAAGTATGTTTCTTAACTAATAATAACAGGAATTTATAAAAACTCTATTTGATTTCTGCATTTGCCGCAAATATAATTACATAAATCTTGTACATTTAATCAGTCGGCAAAGTCATTAATTCCATAGATCAATAATACGCTAATTTTAGTATAAATTAATAATAAACTTAAGATAATCCGGCTAAAGTTAGGTTTACTTCTAGGCGTATGCTAATGTTGTAAGTATTAAAAATACATGTAATGTATTGGCCAATAATCTAGAAGGTAATGAAATAGAAAGAAAAATAAAAGACGTTTACATAACATTAGAATTGTTTATTGTTCTTATAAGCAATACCTGAAACTACACTCTTGTTGATTAAAATTAGGCATATTTTATTTATTTATGGCTAAAACAAGAATGTTACTTACAACAACAACATCACTTTTTATAAATTGTTTAAAAACCAAACTTAATTCTTTTGTCTATTTTTCTATTCATTTCAGATAATCACATCTTTTATAGGCTTTATTTAGAACTTTCTTCAGTTCACGTAGCTATTGTTTAATCTTCAAAATTTCTTGAATATATTCAAAATGGTAGATGGAAACTTTGGAAGGTGGCACAATCGTTTCCATTGCAAACATCTTTTTCAAAATAAGAGAAGGACGTAGCGTCATAGCGCCATAGCGCTATGGCGACTACTTACATAGCACGCGCGATGCGCTATGAAGTGATAGCGCACTATAATATGGCGCTATGCACTATATTAACCACCATTAAAATAGATCGCTCGCGCTCGCCATTTGCCAGATCACGCCATGCGACGGTCGAACGCGCCCACAGAACACTATTACTCCAACGCGCCCCACTCCCGCTCGCCGCTTGCGTAGTAAAATAGCGTCGGCAGTGCGTGCGGTGAAATACCTAACCCATAGCTTTTATTTACATAAATTATGGGAACGGGATCTGATCAAAATTCCGGACAATTGAAACCCCGCCCGGACGCTCCCCAGACTTCCTTTAAACTAGGACGAATCCGGGGAAACCCGGACGGATGGCAACCCTACACCAAGCATACAGAAGGTTTGTTTTTTGTGAAATAATATAAAAAAATAATAAAATCGTCTCTCTGGGACCCATATTCCATATTGCTGGCAGGCTTATGTTTCATTAAAAACGAACACGGTTCTGAACTACGTGTGTCCTTCGACTACCAGCATATCTGCATTGATTACATCAACGGTACGTTTAACACAGTGGAAAAACTCTCGAAATCTTATTTTTTAAAGTTATCGCTATGGATGATATCAGCTGAAATATATTCAGTTTCAACGGTATAAAAATACGTATAGTTAATTTTTAAAACTAATATTCGATAGTGTGTCACATTAATAATGTAGGTATTTAATTTAAAACAACGTAAATAAACTTATTATTATTACAAATCAGTATTTTTATTTTCATCATATTTAAAGTATTTTACTTCTTTTCTTTTAAAACAGAAATAGGTACTTTCCTTTATAATAGTTTTAATAATATATATCCATTTAATCCTATCGGCTTTCTTGCCATTTCAAAACGCAGGCGCAACTTATACAACAACAGCGCCATCTTCAGACTAACCAAGTCAAGTTAGAAATAGAGTCGGCCATTTTGACATTTGTTTAGCTTTGTGTCTGCAATAAAATCAATCATGTATAATTTGGATACAAATTTAAACTCAGCTTAGTTTTCAGTGATTTCACAAATTCAATAATAATAAGCATTACGTATATAAAAGTTATATGTTTAAGACACTGCTGAATCGGCGCATAAATCAATAATGTGTCAGTGCCGCTCTTCTATTTTCGCGTTTGTTAGTTATTTTTGTTTAGTGTCTAAAACATACGCGACTTTGGATATCTTATAATTTATTTATGATAATAAAATATAACTGCTTCAACCCAGTACAAATTTTTTATAAACAGTGTTGCAAAAAAGGCGCGAAGATTTTTGCCGCGCCGATATTTTAGGAGCGAAAAAATCTAAATTGTCCTTGTTAAAACAATGATTGTAGCAGAACTTCTTTTGTATACTGAATCTAAACAGTTATATTTGGCGCTAATATGATTCCAGTGATTTTAATTAGGTCACAATATTTTTGATTGAGAAAGAGTTCATGTAAGTACTTATCGTATATAATCGTATCCTACATAAATTTTTCTCTTTTTTATTTTGTGTCAACAAACATTTGTTATTTTCAGGTTAAGTTACCTACTTAACTTGCAATGCGGTTAAGAAGTCGAAAAAGGGAGCGACCGCTCCCAATTATTAAGAAAGCTAACAGTTCGAAATCACGTAAATTCAAAGATAAATCAACTTGGGGAAATATTTTAAGGCGTACGGCGGGTAGAAATGTTTCTGTCCAACCTAATACGGCTCTACTTTCTATCACTCATCCCAATACGAATTTAAAAAGTAAGTCTGTTAGGATTAAATCTGCCATGATGGAGCGGCAGACACAAGCTTTAAACAAGAAACCAAAGCACAAAGATGATACATGCACGAAGAAACCAATTTTTCAGACAGTTGTACGAAATTCAATTAAAGACAATGTGACATCATCAACACTAGTCAAATCTGTTAAAACAACCCAGAATGACAAAGTGTCAACTACATCTAAAATAAGAGGAAATGATGTAAGAACAACAAAAAGTGTGCAACTACGACACAGTTCTTTGAACAGGGAACTTATTCGATCAGATGTGTCAGCTTCAATAAGCTCCCCACGCAAAACTAGAAGAATTGATAAAGTTGACAAGTCAGCATCATTGAATAGCTCTCCAATACGTAAAGTTCGTCAATTGGGTATACCATCTCAGAAAATTAGCAAAGCTGCAGTAAGTTCAACAAAGGAAAGCCCAAAAAAGAAATGCAAACCAAAGGAATCTTTTATACCTGAACAAAGTAATTGGAATTCAGTTGATGATGACATAACAATGTACGAACCCCATACAACAACAACTGAATTACCTAAAAATGATGATTCTGATTCAGAAACACAAGTTGAGTCTACTGAATTATGTCTCCCAAATGACTGTTTAAATGATTTCATGGCTATAGCCGAGTGTGCGAGGCTAATAAATGAAAGATTACCAACAGGTGATGAGGATATTAACTTTTTAGCTGATAAAGCAGCTAGAGTTATGACAACAGAGAGGGAGGATGAGAAGATTCTTCGGAAGAATTCTATAGATAAAAGGTTAATGAAAAGGAGGAAGTCTAGCAATGATTTGGAAATGTACCAGCCTACTTCCACTACTGATGATTTGGATGTGCCCTCAGACTTCTTGACGACTGGTGAAAAATATGTTCAGGTGACTAAAATTATGAATGTATTACTATTACAGCCTATAAAAGTCCACTGCTAAACATAGGCCTCCCCCATAGAATGCCTCACATATAGGATTTTGCCATAGTTGCCACGCTTGGCAGGCAGTATGGCAACTGCAGTTTTTCTTATTCAGCTGTTATCAGGAAGATGATGTTGTCCATCTCCTGTTTTAGTTTCCCTCTGCTGTCTCTTACAACATCCACGGGGCAAAATGGGGTAATGGGTATTCTTATACTGCCACTGCCTACATGGGGACTGGACCAGTCAGACCTCATGTATGTCATCAGTCAGACTGATACTACACAAATTATGAATATCCTACCAGTAACAAAATTATTTAATCCATATATATTACTAGATTGCCAGGCAGATGTTGCTCTGCCCTTTTCGACGACTGCTTGTCATGTCCTATTAAATTATCCTTAAAATTGTGGGTTGAGCAAACAACTATCCTATCTCTCAAGTTTGACCAAACTGCACACGGTGTGCAAATTTGATTAAAATCGGTTAAGTAGTTTAGGAGTTCATCGCGGACAAACAACGTAACACGTAATTTATATATATTAAAATTTATAAAGAACACAACTTGCATATTTTGAAATTTATTACTTTTCTATTTCAATTTATAATTGCTCATTTTGACTCCTGTTAGAGCTGTTTCATTCTTTATTAAACAATTTTTTATACATGGCCTTTGATATTGTGTAAACGATAATTCTACCAATATCTAGTCTTTGCGTAGTTTATCAAGTCATATAATTTAGATTCTGCCAAAAACATATGTAGAACAAAGTCCACATGTTTTATATTAACAATTGAAATGTACCAAAACATAATACTGCCAGAAATGCCCAACTTGAAAACTTGAAATATTCACTTTTTTTTTTGGTGGGATATCATTATTTTTTGAATAAAGTTTTACACTTAATAATCGAAATAAATATATGAATTCAATGTCTTTCATGTGTTTATGCTTCACTGTTTTCTCTTTTTGGTTTAAAGTCATAAGAATGAATAATTAATTTTTTTTCTGCATAAGACTCCTATATAATGTTTATTACATTAACTTTGCATGTGTCCAGCAGTGGTCTGTTTATGAAAAAACCATTTTTTTTACATATAATGTAAGTAACAAACAAGCTTACAGTCCAACATATGGTAAATAGTGGTTACTGCAGCACATGAAACCAACCAACACATGAAACCAACTTCAAACAAGTAAACAGCTATGTTGTCACCCCTGTGGACTGAGTTGGAACGCCTCACAGCCTGTAATTATACTGGCTCTCATAAATAAAGGAAAAGATGACAAGACAAATAATCAAAAGCGGTTATTCCATTTATCCACCCTAAAATTCCAGCCTAGGGTGGATACTCAGAAACTTGTATATGGGGTTGAAAGTCGGAATTTATATATATGTATTATTTTTCTTCCGATTTTCTCCCTCGGCTGTGTACAGTCATTTACAGTACCTATTAAATATATACATACTTTACCTATAAAAATATATACATACTTCTTGTTTGAAAGGTCAACGCTGAAATAAAGGGAGTACCTTACAGGATTACAGATTCATTGGAATCTTGGCATGATATAATTTAAAATGAAGATAAAGACAAACATTGAATGGTAACATTTTCGGAATGCCTGCAAAAAATGCCCAGTTCTTTCCTAACACATCTTTCGTAGAAAAAAATTTATAAAATGATTGCAAATGTACATTAAAAGCAAGAAATTTATCCAGGATATCAAATTACATCTACTCAGTTATAAAATTCGTGTTGGTATCTAATTGACTTGACATATTGCAGAATTTATAAATTACTTATGTTCTTTAAAACAAGGAAGTTTAATTTTATTTAAATGCAATATGTAATGCAGACTTTAATAGATGGTAACGGTAACGGCAATCCATATGTTTTTTGATATCATTTGTGGCTATTAAAAAACTAATTAGTAATGAAAGTGTATGTGTGATGGGGAAAAGTCGGAAGAGTGAACACCCAGTCTGGGGTGGATAGATGAACATGCGTTTCCGAGTATCCACCCTAAGGTGAATTTTTTATAGTGTATAAACAGAATAACACATCAAAGAGATTGTTTCGAGTAATTTTTCATAAATGACTAGATTCCAGTTTATATATGGAACATTTTTTGTTTGTAATATTATGTTCCATGCACAATAACTGAAGTCATAACTGTTGTCCTTTGTGGCTTTGGTTGTTGTACTACATGGATGCTCATAGAGACATTTTTATAGAATTAAGGGTGACAAAAGGACACACAATCTACCTAATAATAAGTAAATTTTGCGACCCATAGTCACCTACATCTATCCTCAATAATTAAGAATCAAAATGAAAATGTGTTGTCATAGTATGAATAAGATGGAATGCCTTGTAACCAGTCAAAGTGATGGACATGAATTAGGGCAGATAGTCAAATTCTATGACGGTCTTAATTTATTTTACAAGTGCTATACTTAAAAAATATTACAATCCAATGCTGATTGTTAAACTTTATTTTAGATGAGCCATAATTCTTGATAAATATTAATAAACTATTATTATACAGCCGGATTTTGTGACCATGCTGGAGCAAGATGGCTATGTGCGGGACTCTGAATGTGAAATATCATCCACATGCACGGATGCTCAGGGCACTGCCATAGAGAATTTAGAAGCATTGTCAGCACGCAGTCCAAGTACTGGCTTTTTGGCTGAGATTAGCCAGAGCTTGGTAGCAGAGGCTGCTGGATGGGTAAATAGTTTTATGTATATTAATTTGTTGTATGTACTACATGTATTAACAATATATATTGTACAATATGTATTGAATTAATTATAAAGGTTATTTTAAAGACAATATGAAGTTGTTATGTGCTAAAATCTTCGATTAATTATATACTAGATTAAGGATCAGGAACAAAAATAAGTCGCACAAGTGGCCACCTTTGCACACACATAAACATCTGTCTGTCTTAGAAAAAAGTTTAATAACATTAACAACTTCAGTTTATTATAAACCTTATAACACTCTAACATAAACTTTAATCACCATTGCAAAATATATTTATTTAAGTCCTTTCATCAGAGAAATGTAAAAAGCAATAAGTTAAGAATGTCGCTTGAAAATAAAAAGTCGTAGGTTACAAAAATATTTATTCTAAAATGAAACAAACTCTTTAGTAATAAGGTTAAAACATTATGTTGACATTTTTGTGCTTACTCTAATTTGGTAGTAGACGTAGTTCTTGGTATTATATTTCAATGCTTGGAACACAGTGAGCATTGAAAGACGTAGAGTTACAGAATATAAATATTTTAGGGCAAGGGTCGTTTTGTATGGTGGCAAATATTTTTGACCGATTTATAAAAGTAGTAGGTATTCAAAGATATTTCAATGAAAGATCGTCAATTTCTTCTTTAAATACCCTCTTTTGGGAGTGTCACATATGGATGTTAAATCTGATAATGATGCATCAGGAGACTTCAAGTAAACTGCATCAGCCCGAGGTACGTCACGTATTTCTGTCATATCTTCAAAAGTTAAAGTTTATTGAAAACAATTTTAAAGTATTTCATGAAAATACCTACAGGTATATTTTTTCTGTTATAATGATTTTTTTTAAATAACTCTTTCATTATGCTGAACATAAAGCTGATTGCACTTTTATTGGTCCGTAAATCTGAAAAAAATCATAAACATCTTACTTTTTTACCAAAAGCACTACACTACCTTCACAATCTTACACTTTCAATTTTACTAGTTTACGATAATTACCTGCAATTTGGGAACTGCTGTTTGTAGTAATCTACACCTTTGCGTGTTTCCAGTTATGTCCAATCTATCAAAATGAATCAAACATATTCTCAAATTTTTGGATGGGTTGTATATATAGTTCTTCTCCTCTTTCTTTCGCGACAATAGATACTCATTCTGCACAGCGAAATGGGTCCCTAGGAAATTTACAAACAAAAAATATATATTAAATAATAATACTACTCCATGCATGTTTGTTCAAGAACAGTCAATGTTTGTTACAATAGTTGTTGCGTTGTAGCAAACATTGGCCAAACAATCATAATATTAGCTACTTGAATAATTTTTGCTGTTTTTATTTTATGAAAAATACTTAATGATATAAACTTACCGAAAAAAAGATATTCCTTCCAAACTCTTGGTGTTACAGTGGTTATTTAACAGTTTTTGAACGCGCGCACTGCGGCATTTCGACGTTTTAACGTTGGCTATGATTGGACTATACTAATTGGAAATAAGACCACAGAAGTGTTTGTGGTCTTATTTTTCTGGCCGTTTTTGAAGCGCTTATTGGGAATCTAGTATATTATTGATCGAAGGCTAAAATCTTGTTTTTAATTTTGTTTAGTTACTAGCTGTTCCCCGCGACTTCGTCCGTGTGAAATTTATTACGATTTCATGGATTTGAATGTTTTGCGCAAGATCCCAATTCTTTTTCTTAAAAAAGTAGGCTTAGTCTCATGGCTGTTCTTAATCTCATGGCTGTTAGACGGGAGATGAGGCTGCAATCGTCGACAGATTTGACAGCATACAGGCAACTGAACAGACAGATCTCCAAATGCATGCGGCGAGACTTACGCAAATTTAATACTGCTCGTATTGAAGAAGCGATTGAGCGGAACCAGGGCTCCAAAGTCTTTGCCAGAGATCTGTCTGCCAATAAGAGTCAACTGTCAAGGCTGAAGACTGAGTGTGGCAGCATCGTTTCCGGGACACCTGACATTCTGAGTGAGATTGAGACATTCTATGGGCACAACTGCAGCTGCTGAGATGATGGACACATCATCGTTGGAGCCACACGCAAGTGTGAGTAACGATCCAAGTGCGGGTCTTATGATATCCCGGACGTCAGTCTGAGCGAGATTAGAATGGCTCTCCAGCACCTTAAAAACGGCAAGTCCCCGGGCGAGGATGGAATTACAGCGGAGCTTCTGAACGCGGGTGGAAAATCGGTACTTCAAGTCCTTCAGAGGCTCTTTAATTCCGTCCTCCATGGTGGCACTACTCCGGAGGAGTGGAGCAGAAGTGCGGTGGTCTTGTTCTTTAAGAAAGGTGACAACGCCCTCTTGAAGAACTACAGACCGATATCCCTTCTGAGCCGCGTCTACGTCCTGTTTTCAAGAGTCATTACGAATCGTCTCGCACGCAGACTCGACGACTTCCAGCCTCCCGAACAAGCCGGTTTCCGAAAAGGCTTTAGTACCATAGACCACATACATACCCTTCGGCAAATTGTACAGATGTCCGAAGAGTACAATCTGCCACTTTGCCTGGCGTATGTGGACTATGAGAAAGCCTTTGATTCCGTCGAAATTTGGGGGTGCTACAGTCTCTTCAGCGGTGTCAAGTTGACTGTCGGTATATCGAAGTGCTGAAGTGTTTGTACAGTAGGGCTACGATGGCTATCCGAGTACAGAACCAGAGTATGAAACTTATCCAACTGCAGAGCGGTATAAGACAGGGTGACGTTATTTCCCCAAAACTCTTGACCGCTGCATTGGAAGACGTTTTCAAGCTACTGGACTGGAAAGGATACGGTATTAACATCAATGGCGAGTACATCACTCACCTTCGATTTGCCGACGATGTAGTCCTTATGGCAGAATCTCTGGAGGACTTAAGCACTATGCTCAATGACCTCAATAGTGCCTCCCAACGGATAGGTCTTAAGATGAACGTGGACAAAACAAAGATCATGTTTAATGTCCATGTCACACCTATGCCGGTAGTTGTTGGGAGCACTAAGCTCGAAGTTGTTGACGAGTACGTTTACCTGGGACAAATAGTCCGGCTAGGTAAGTCCAATTTCGACCGAGAGGTCAATCGACGGATTTAACTCGGCTGGGCAGCGTTCGGGAAATTACGACACATCTTCTCGTCAGGTATACCTCAAAACTAAGTTGTACAACCAGTGCGTGTTGCCAGTGATGACATATGGAACTGAGACGTGGTCCTTCACTGCTGGGCGTATGAGGACGCTCAAAGTCGCTCAGCGAGCTATGGAGAGGGCTGTGCTCGGAGTTTCTCTGCGTGATAAACTTAGAAATGAGGATATCTGCAGTAGAACCAGAGTGACCGACATAGCCCAACGGATTAGTAAGCTGAAGTGGCAATGGGCCGGCCATATAGCTCGAAGAACCGACAACCGTTGGGGAAAAAAGGTTCTCGAGTGGCAGCCTCGTACCGGTAGACGAAGTGTAGGGCGACCCCCCACTAGATGGAGTGACGACCTGGTAAGACATGCAGGAAGTCGTTGGATGCAGGAGGCTCAGGACCGTGCTTTGTGGCATACCTTGGGGGAGGCCTATGTTCAGCAGTAGACTTGTAAAAGGCTGTAATGATGATGATGATGATGATGAAAAAAGTAGACTAAGTTACTGCCAGTTAAAGTTCTGACAAAATTGGTTCAGCCATTTCGGAGATTAGCCGGAACAACCCGAAAAACAGACACCAAAACTTTTAAAAATTGTTTTTTGTTTTAAAATATTTCATATAGCAGTGCCCTGCGGTTTCATCCGCGTATATCACGTGTCTGCGCCGCGCGACATGACATGACACCTCGCCCATTTAGTTCAATCATTTTAGCTTAAATTTCTAAATTATGGACTATTTGGCCAAGAGACTCATCCAGAAGGACGTCACAATTTCTGCTTAAATTTGGAGTGGAAAAAATATTTCAATACGGTTTTTGTTGGTGATTATTTTGGTCTACCTATGATGGAATATACCATAATTGCTAAGTAACTATAAGTTAGTTACTTAGTAATTATGGTATATTTCCTATTATTCTTCTATTCATATAAAAAATATGGTTGTGTATTTTTAACCTCTTGTGATTTCTGAAGCACAGAATAAATAATAGTATTATGTACAGAACTTGCACTTCTTTGATATTGACTACTTGCGGACGTTGTAATAGCCTACATAATTATTATTAATTAGATAAAACCACAAATGCAAGCTAAATTAAACTTTATCGCTGTGCACGAGTGTCATATTGCTTTGGATCTTTTCTTCTTCATATGTATTGGATGATATTCTGTAGTTACCTAGGGCTTTCAACAAAGAGTAAAAGAATACAGTATGTTTATTTAATGTATTACATTTTTTTACCTTTTATTGTTATTAAAATGAGTAGGAAAAACTAAAGTATGTCGCTTGCCTAAAACATGCCAGCCCTGACTGCATATGTAACCTGAGGTTCTGCCCGAATGTAGTCATTTACGTCATGCAGGCAGCAATAGTGACAGAGGGCTGACTGAAGGAAAGAAATGAAAATCATTCACCACATATCACTGAGCAGATTATAAAATTGTTACGGCACATCTAAAGATCAGTGTGCATAATCTGTCCACTTTACAATCCACTTGTAAACATTTTTAATACTAATTTTACTTACTGTTGTTTTCAGAGTGCTTCTGAGATTGTGCCTAATGATTCTGCAATGGTCTGCCATGATGAACAGAATGGTACTGAAGTCGAGGTATGGTGCCTTGCTTATCTATAAAAATGTTTGAAATTGATATTAAAATACACATACACATAAATGTGATGTTAGTTCCGATCAACTATGGAATTGAAATTAATGGGGTTAATAGATAAAGTAATGATGAATAGGTAATGTTTTTCACATCTGATATTATCATGTTAGCTGAATCTCCAATATTTACTATAAAGTTATAATATATATAAATATATATATATATATATATATATATATATATATATATATATATATATATATAATACTTTAGAAAAGTTGATGGCAGTAGCCTAATTTTTTAAGTATGTGGTCTGCAAACTCAAAAGTTGTGGATTTGAATCAGCCATTCGTCGAATGTTGTGAACCACTTATAATATATTTTTAAGCTTATTTGGAGGTGCTGATGGGAATATTAGTGATGTTAATAGAATTACGATTATTACCTATACCTTTTTACATTGTTCTAGCTTTTACCCAACTGCTTTTCGGGGCGTATATTTACTAAATTAAATGTTTGAACATAATTGTGCTTTTAAATGATAAACATTGCCAAATTTCATTAAAATACCTGCAATCTATGAGGGCTTACAGGCTTTTTCCTGTCACCAAGGTGATGCCACATAGCAGAGGTGAGATATTTGATAAGCGTCATAGTGAGGGAAAACTTGTTAGGAAAATGTAAGGGTTAATGCTTTTTTATTTGTGAAATATTAGTACATAAAATAACATTGTTGCCTATATAATATTATTTACAGTACAATTAAATAAAAAAAAACTATGAATATTCCTAAAAGTATAAGAATTAAAAAGAAAGTTAAAAAATGCCCACAAAGCAGATTTTTTAAATGGGCCAGGTCTATCTACACTACCTCAAAAAAAAAATCTGTAGAATTCGAGAAAAAAAATACAGATAATTCATATAAATGTATCTTGTCGTGGTAAACAATTGATGTTTATCAATTGTTTTATCGACTTTCAACATGGCGTCTTACCGATTTAGTTACTTTGTGCTTATAGACATTGACAGTAAACCATAAAGCGACCATAGATCATAGAGAGGGAACTGTCAATTGTCACAACAGTGTAAAAAATACGTGACGTGATAAAGATGTAAAAGGTCTCCGGGTATAAGTGTCGTTGTGTTTTTGGCTATTTCTTATTCTGAGAGCTGTTGAATTACCTTTTTTTTGTTTATTATTTCTGTTGGTGTTGGTTTTAGTAGTTATAAATCCGTAAGTGTTTAGTAATTGTGCCGTTTTATATGTAATTAGTTAGAATAAAATGGAGGAAGATCCTCCCGATCCCGACGGGGTTCCATGTGACTCCCATACTGGTACGAAAAAAAATAATAATATTCCTATCGAAATTGATCAGTCGAAGCGTAAAAGATTGCAAGCAACCAATAACTCAGGTCATCCTCAGAAAAGATTAATTACAGATCCATCTCAACCTGTTCCATCTATTCAGACCTCTTATACCCACCCTGAATACATAGAAAAAAAACATAAATATTCTAATAACGACAATGCGCCGTTTATTGTACATGTAAGTAAGAGAGTAGATGATATATCAACTGGAGTAGTTTTAAAACCGATAAAGTTTAGTCATTTTCTCTACCATAATAATATTAAAAATGTTGTAAGTGATGGTGTTAAGCGAGTAGGATGCAATAGAATTTCAGTCGAGTTTAAAAGTGCAGCTGATGCAAATTTTTTTATTGAGAACCCAGCCCTTGCAGGTGCTAAATATGATACTGTAATCCCTTCTTATAATGTCACACGCATGGGAATAGTGAGGAAGGTCCCTGTAGAATGGACATTAGAGGAACTCATCTCATCAATCGAGGTCCCAGCTGGTTTTGGCTCAATTATTAAAGCTCGCCGATTTAATAGAAAGTCAGTTAATGAAAACCAAAGCACTGTGTGGATTCCCTCTCAAACAGTTGTTTTGACTTTTTCCGGTCAGAAACTTCCTTCTAACATTTATTGTTTTTTTACCTCAATGCCTGTTGAGCCTTACATTTTACCTCTTATTCAACGTCACAAATGTTGTCGTTTTGGGCATGTAACCTCACAGTGTAGGTCATCTTCCCGGTGTTTTGTGTGTGCTCAAAATCATGAATATCATGCACAAGACAGTCTCCCACGTGCTTATTTTGTTCAGGATCTCACACAGCTAAAGATCCTTCCTGCCCTGAACACTCTAGGCAGAGATCTATCAAACTTACCATGTCACAGGAAAATATTTCCTATCTAGAAGCATCTGCCCGTTTCCCTTATGTCCGGAGATCTTATGCAGATGATGCTAGAATCCTTCCTTCGTATGATCATCAGAGTCCCTATCCTATTTCAAATTCCCCTTTACCTTCAGTTGTCCCCTCACAATCTCATTCTTACAGGAAGACTACTTTTACTCCAAGACTTCCGCCAAATCCAGCATCAATTCATGGATATGATAAATCTGCCCACGAGGCAATAATAGATACCCCTTCTTCTTCAACTACTAATGGTTGTGCTTTAATAGGGCGGAGTATTTCCCCTAATGACAATCTCTGTGAGTTAATGATCTCCATGCTTATAAGTATGCTTTCCCGTTTCAGCGATATGGATCTCCCACTTGCCCTCCGCCAAAAACTTACTGAGCTCATCTCATTAACAAATAACCTTCCCTCCAATACTTCAGTGGAACTGCCGGAGCATTAATAATAAAAAAAATGAATTAATTTACCTTATTAATAAATACCATCCCCTCATCCTAGCCATTCAAGAGACATGGCTTAAGCCTGGGTCCCATTTTAGGATTTCAGGTTATTCATGCCTCAGGAATGATAGGAATGATGGTCATGCTGGCTCTTTCATTCTTATCTCAAAATCAATTACTTATACATTAATTTCCCTCCCTTCTCATAGTCCTTCAATTAATGTTGTAGCAGTTAGAGCTCATAACACTTCTTTTCTTTCTATTTACATTCCCGAACCTAGTTTAAATGTTTTATCAGAACTTACGAGGATCATATCCTCCATCCCGCCTCCTATGGTAATTCTTGGTGATTTTAATATGCACCATACTTTATGGGGCTCCCATTTTTGCGATCCCTGGTCTTCTACATTTTTAGACATCATTGATGATTTAGATCTCTGCCTCCTTAACGATGGTTCACCTACACGTAGAGTATCCCCCCTCCAAAATCCTAAAAGTGCAGTAGATCTGTCACTCTGTTCTCCTGCTCTGTCGTCCCTTCTTTCTTGGAGAATATTACCCTTTTCCCATGGCAGTGATCATTTCCCTATTGTTATCAATCCCCCTAGTTCCTATACAGTCAATGTTCCATTCAATCCTAGGTTAAAATATAACACTTCCAAAGCAAACTGGCAACTATATTCCACAGTTCTAGAGGAAGAACTTTCAGCCCTTCCTCCTGTTCAGAAAGATAATGTTCTCCAGGTGTATGCTTCTTTTAAAAACGCTATTTTATCTGCTGCCAATAAGACAATTCCCATCAAAAAACCTTATAAAAATAATGCCCCTTCACCACCTTGGTGGGATCAAGATTGTTCTGTAGCATGTAAGAAGAGAAAGGAAGCTGAAGTAAGATATTCCCACTCTATGAATTTTGACAACTATATTTTTTATAAAAAAAATTGCTGCTGAAACATTAAAATTATTATCCGGGAAGAAAAAGGCTGAATGGCTTAAATTCTGTGAGTCACTGTCGCCTAGGACCCATCCATCATTAGTCTGGAAAAATATAAAAAAAATCCGAAGTTCAGTTTTGACCTCTGAAAACACAATTTCTAATGATCAGTCTTATTGGCTAGAAAATTTTGCTAGTAATCTTGCTCCTCCTTCAGTACCATCTTACAATGAATGTATAGCATTTCAATCACAGTCCTTGCACTATCAACACAGTTTTGACGCCCCTTTCTCTTATGAGGAGTTATATGCTGTTCTTAGTGTCCTTAAAGACTCTTCACCAGGAATTGATGGAATTCCTTATTCTTTTATTACTAATAGCAGTGAACCTATTAAAGTCCATCTTCTTTCTATTTTGAATTGTATTTACATGTCTGGTATTCCTCCAGAAGAATGGAAATCCCAAGTTATTTTACCTATTTACAAACCAGGTAAGCCTTACACTGATCCCTCAAGCTACCGCCCTATCGCTCTTTCTTGTACCATGGCCAAAATCCTTGAACACCTAATAAAAAATCGTTTAGAATGGTTTCTTGAAAGCAAACGCCTTCTAGCAACAAGCCAATTTGGATTCCGAAAGGGCTTAAGTACCATGGATAGCCTTAGTACTCTAGTTACTGATATTCGTTTAGCTTACTCTAAACATGAATACCTTGTTGGAGTTTTCCTAGATATCGCGTCTGCATATGACAATGTACTTCTTCCTATGCTCAGGCAAAAAATGCTCAATCTGAGTATTCCAGTGAGGATAGTAAATTTTGTCTCTAACTTTCTCTCTTCTAGATCCATTTATATTGATAGTCAACATTCTCTACTCCCACCAAGAATAGTATGGAAAGGTCTCCCACAAGGCTCAGTACTTAGTCCTTTGCTCTATTCTATCTATACTTATGATCTAGAGCTTTCTGTTAACTCATTCTGTAACATCCTCCAATATGCAGACGATATAGCTATATATATTTCCTTGGATAACCTCCCTGCAGCTTGTTACCGCTTGAATTTATCAATGTCCTATTTACATGATTGGTTAACTGATCATGGTTTGTCTTTGGCTGTTCCCAAAAGCAGTGTTGTGATCTTCTCTCGCCATAGGCAACTCCCTGAAATCAACATTCTCTATAATAATGAACCTATCCCAATTAGGGAGAATGTAAAATTTTTGGGAGTTATTCTTGACTCCAAACTAGCCTTTTCCCATCATATCAACTATGTTTCCAAAAAATGTGAAAAAAATATAAATATTCTTCAAGCTTTATCGGGAGTTTGGTGGGGCTCCCACCCATTCTCTCAAAAATTATTGTACAATG